GCTCAATTCTGCCTTCGGTCTTCTTCGCTCCCTCTTGCTACTGAGAAGAGAAAGTGTGGTCGATGCAGCGCAAGTCTGCTGTCACCATAGACTACTATACATGCAATTCATCAGTGCCACGCCGATTCCTTGGGGTACACGGTGGCCGTCATCGTTCTCGACGCTCGAATTGACAAGATGAAGAAAAAGCCTGGTTGTATTGCTCGGCACTGCACTTATTCAGCTTTTTTCTTATTCCTTTCCCATTTACTGTTACGCGTTTTCCCTTTAGCCTCAATTCGTCGCTACAGACTTGGAGGCGTTTCATCCACAGGCCTTATTCGGAGTGTACAAATTCAACTACTGAGAGAGTCGACAGTGCCAGTTGTAGTATTGCAGAGGCAGCTACTTTTCGGGTTCGTTGATTCCAACATAAATGTTAGCAATGTTATGTTGTTACTCCTTTTATCCCACCTTTCCAGTCGCACTTGTCTTCTTTCTGACTTATAACTTTAACTACCCTACGGTCCGGATGATAAAAACTTCGTCTTTTGTTGTAACAGCAAGTGTCACGTAGGGAGGGTCCCTGCGCTTGGACCTCGATCCCCACGCCCAAGAGACCGCAAGCTGTTTCGCGGCTTAATCTCAGGGTCGATGACTGGTCTATACAGCCGCGAAGGCCATCAGAGGCCACATCTATCACTAGTGAAGTCAATCGCCTTCGAAGAAAGATTATGGGCTGGTTGGTGCCTAGCCTCGACGAGCACGGCAGTCCTTACGCGCGTCTGTCCAAAGTACATATTGTTAACGTATTGTTTACTTTAATTATTTAAGTAAACTATTATTATTAATAATAATAAACATCTTTCCGCTTACTTTAAGGATGTTTCACATAGACTGACCGAAAGCCTTCGGGACGTGGACCTGATTGACGAGGCCTACGCCTCTAACAGTATCACAGCTCGGAGTCCAGTCTATCCGATTAACTTACTCAGACAAATAGATGTCGAATGCCAGGCCATCGTTAGTGGACGCCTCAGTGAAAGAGATGCTGCGGCTGCTGCAAGTGCCCGTAGTAGAAGTCTCCAGGCCTTGATTTGTTCAACCAGCAACCAGGCTACGGGGCGAGGAAGATCACAGGACCTCCCGAATGCAGATGCGTCATTGATTTCTGACAGAGTTCGCAGCTGGGGATACTTTGCTAGTGTTAGTTTTACCTTACCTCTTTTGACTCTACAGGTGTCACTGAAGGAACTTCAAGTCAACTCCTCGTGGTAGAACTCCAAAAGATCGTACTAGATTTTAGGCTTATTTTTGTACTGAAGACCGAGCACATGATATTCGCGCTTATTACCGTGAGCAGTTGGTGCTATAATTGTAAATTTCAAATGACGTCCCCGTGCTCGGCAACCTACTTATATACTTAAAACGTAAAGCTGTGGTTTGAGGATATTCTGTTTCAGTGTCAG